ACCTGGTACAAGAGCTTTTGCTCATGGATTGTGCTGGGCTTTGGGTTTGGTTGCTGCAATCCCTGCCTAGTTCATAACCAGGCTAAGGGTAATCTTGCCTCATTTGCACAGCCTGGCTTAAGGAATCCCATTCTCACAGGATGCCCTCACTATCTATGGGGTTTCTTCTCACTGCTATTCCACCCCTCCATTCAAGATACCACTATTTAATAAAGACTGTCTGCCATGTCCTATTGGAGATATTTACTCCTAAACTGAGGAAACATAAACAAAGCTTGACAAAGGATGCATCCCAATTAGAGGCTGACTGAGAAGGCCAGCTTTGTAGACACAAATTCATATTTGTGATAGGCAAAATGCATGTTTACTTAAACACCCTTTTTTTCATAGGATATGCATCTGTTAAGGGGGAGGAGGAAAGTGTTACCATGTCTTTTGCTGTTTCAGGTCTCAGAACATCACACAACTTCCGCACAACAGGACAATGAATGTGTCCAGCAACTGCAGCATCACAAGTCTAGAACTTTATCACCATGTCCGCCTCACTGAACTTGCTCTGTATAGCGTCATTTTCTTGTTTGGAGCTCTGTTTAATGCCCTTGCCCTCTAGGTGTTCTTCTGCAAGATAAAGAAGTGGACACAAACAAGGGTGTATGTAATCAACTTAGTCTTTGCAGACTGCTTTGTCATCTGCACCTTGCCTTTCATGGCTTACTTGCTCTGGAATAAGTCAACCCGAGACGAACTCTGCCAGTTTATAGAGACAACATATTTCATCAACATGTTGGTGAGTATCTACGTAATTACATTTGTCTCCATTGACCGATACATTGCCATAAAACACCCCTTGAAAGCCAGGACCTTCAGGTCTCCATCAAAGGCAGCCCTTCTCTGCGGTCTTCTGTGGGTCTCTGTGGTAGTCGGTGCCACTGCACAGATCTGGCAGAGCCAATCCACCCTCTGCTTCCAGAAGGATACCACCGTGCCTGCTGCTCTGAGCCTGCTTTCCATCTTCTTCGTTTTTATTCTTCCATTGGCAATCTTGACTTTTTGCTCCACAGAAGCGATCAGGAGCCTCAAGAGAGGCCTGAACACCAGTTCACCAGAGGAGAAATCAATCCAGAAAGCTGTTCACATTATTTACGCAAACCTGATGGTGTTTCTAGTATGTTTTCTGCCAGCCTTCTTTGGGTTACTTGCCACGTTCGTAATGGATAGCATTGGAGCTACCTGTTTCATGCTCCAGGTTATGAAGAACATCTCCTCCCTGACAAGGTGTATTGCCACATCTAACTGCTGCCTGGATAGTGTCTGCTACTACTTTGTGACCAAGGAGTTCCATGAAGCCCTTCTACCACCCAAAACCAGCAGTGATAAAACAGATCAAATCCACCCCTTGCAGACACACACTTGCTAAAGGAAAGCAAGGAGTGGAAGGAGGGAGGCAAGAGGGATGAAAAACAGCAAACCCAAAACAATGAAACCCAGTGTCTCTGCAACATCAAGAGAAGACACATCCTCAGTGTTATTGGGATAACTGTTGCCCTTTCTCTCTGAAGAGATCATAGAGCCATAGAACAGTTTGTGCTGGAAGGGACCCTCAAAGCTCATCTAGTTCCACCCTGTTGCAATGAGCAGGGACACCTTCAACTAGATCAGGTTGTCCAGAACCACATCCAGACTGGCCTGGAATGCCTCCAGGGATGGCACAAGGTCTTTGTTAGGTTTAACATTACTAAATAAATTGTAAATAACATCCTATGCTTCTATTAATTTCACAAAGCTGTGTGAAAGTGTGTATGTAATCTCTGGTCATTAACAAGTCTCCATTCCACCCTCCAGTTGCTCTTATGAGAATACAAGTGAACCATGTATGTCTCCCTGGTTTGTTTTTTTTTTTATATCTAAAGTCTATTGATCCTTATTGTCAATACATACAAAAAGAATATATCATGTTTTACCTCACTGTGTATTTCAGGCTGTTTGCATTATTAAATTAATCCAGTTTATTTATTTCGTATTGCTTTGGTGGGGAAGGGGGAGGTTTCAGGCAGTAACAGCATCTTACTAAGGACATGGCCCTACAAAACACCCTAGACTCTGCTAACTGCCCTTCCTCTTCAAGTCAATGCATCAGATAGATGTGAAGGATGAAAGCAAGACTTATTTGGTCCCATAAAAGCACGAAGTCCAGGAGATATCAGGGCTGAGCCATAAGGGTCTGCTACTCACCCCCCCCCCCCCCCCCCCAAGGAAGCCCTTTTAACTCTGTCTAGACCTTTGCCACCCATGCATGTGACCTGCAGCTGCTGCTGCTCAATCTGCTCTTGTCACCTTTGGAAATGTGAGTTCAGGAGCCACAAATCAGTGGGACAAATCCCGAGGAAGCTAGAACCTGGCTCCCATAGATAGGACTGCAACTGCTACAGCCAACAGACAGCAAACCCACCAAAACGCCTGTAAAGTCCCACTGGGGAATGCACTTAAAAGAGTTCCTGACAGCGTGCTCACTGCCTCACCAGCATCTCTGACCAGTGACTGTCATTTCCAGCTTGGGCTTTGCAGCGGTGCTGATGAGCAGTGTTAGACACTTGGTCGCTTTGCAGAGGGTAAGCCAGCCCATAACGTCTGCCACCCTTCTTGTAAAGACACTGAAGAGAAGCACGCTGGGACCTCTCACCCTGGGCTCACTATCACGGGGTGCACAAGCACTGACGTGTCCCCTGTCCCCTCAGAAAGGCTGTCGGCCCCCCCACCGCACACACTTTGCAACCGCACTGGAGGCTGCCCAGCCCTCCCGTGCTCCCTGCGGGACCTTTTGCTGCCAGAAGGACAATTTGCAGCCATTATGGGTTGTATTTCAGAAATTATTTGTTTTCCCAAGACTGAAAACATTAAATTTTAATTGCTGGGGTTTGTGTAAGGCGAGGGGGGGAGCACAGTCTGGGTGAGTAAGGATGATGGTGAAGCATCCAGCTGATGCGAGCAGAACGACAGAGGGCACCAGAGACTCGACTGTCCCAAAAGCTAAGTGATAAGTGAAGCACTTTGGGGGAACAAGAGCTCATTGCTGTGTTTCAGCTGCCGACAGCAGGCTCTGGGGCAGCTGTGCCCTGCATGGAGTAGCATACTGCTCTGGTACCCGCGGACCTGACACGTCCTCTCCCCTGTCACACCGCCTGCGTCTACACTGCAACCTTAAGGAGGATCAAACCACCCTGACGGCCCCACAGGCAGCAGGTAATGGCTTTTCATTCTTCCCACACCTAAGTGTGCTCTGCTCAGAGCAGAATATGCTTTCTCACCTCTTAACTAACGTGCTAGCCTGCTTGTTAACATATATGCATGAGACCCAAGATTATTGTAACAAACCTCTCCCATGAAGAGAGGCTGAGAGACTCAGCCTGGAGAAGAAAAGACTGCAGGAAGACCTTAGAGCAGCTTTCCCATACCTACAAGAAGTCTGGAGAGGGACTTATGACAAGGGCCTGTAGGGACAGGACAAGGGGAATGGCTTTAAACTGACAGAGGGGAGATTAAGATTAGATGTAAGGAAGAAGCTCTTCCCTGTTATGAGGTTGCTGAGGCGCTGGCATAGGGTGCCCAGAGAAGCTGTGGCTGCCCCATCCCCAGCAGTGCTCAAGGCCAGGCTGGACACAGGGGCTTGGAGCAACCTGCTCTAGTGGAAGGTGTCCCTGCCCGCGGGAGGGAGTTGGAACTGGATGAGCTTTAAGGTCCCTTCCAACCCAAAACATTGTCAATCCTCACCCGCACAGAGATGCTTTGGTATCCTCCTGTTTTCCAGCCATCTGTGTCTTCAGGGGGCATCTTCATCCTCACTTTAGTTTCGCACCAGCTCCTCTTCTGTGCACAAGGAGATACCCAGCTCCAGGCACACTGTAGCACACAACACTGGGAACCACCGCCAGCTCTGTGCTTACATAGGGGGTTTGATGGGGCTGGGATGCCCATCCCCAGCCGCCTCAGCTGCTCCCTCAGGACAGTGCTATGCATGCAGAGAGTGGCTTTTTCACTGTGGGGTGACCATAGTAAGCTAGCAGGGAACGGCTGCAAGGTAGGTGGTACAATGCAACCCAGGACGTGTGAGGCCGAAAGCTCAAGAGATCCAGGATGCCGGCTCTATATTAGTTCCTCTGTAAATTACACCCTACAAATGACTGCATCCCTGTGGTTCAGTAGTGACATACCAGTTCTGGTGCTAGGGCAGATGCTGTGCTTTCCTCTGTGGTTGCCAGCTCCATCTCTAAGTCTCTGACACTAAAACCAGTTCAGTCAGTTCATGCAACTGGGCATTTTCACTACAGTTTAAATGTGGATGCTTACAAGATGCTGACTTATAAGGCCATGTATTTGTAAGAGATTGTAGGTATCTGGGTGTTTTCTTTTCCTGCCTTGATGTAAACACTTCCTTTATGAACTGCAAATTAAGTCCAATTCATCCTTCACAGCCTCCTTGCTGGTAGAAGACACCTTGAATATTTAAAGGAATACCAGGAGATAGTCTAAGTTCTTGGTTCTGTGATTTCTGCTTTAGCAACATTTTGGCTTCCTGTCTTTAAAGGCTGAGATCAGACTTGTGCTCACATTCCCTTCTCTCTTTGGAGACCTCGGACTAGATCTGCTAGGGTTGATGGTACTTAATGCTGAGCAATTCCTCCCCAGCATCCTCAGAGAGAGTGGGTTCATGGCAGCATGACATAAGCCAGCTCGTGCCCAGACAGCCAAGTAGGCCAACAGCATCCTAGCCTGTATCAGCAACAGTGTGGCAGCAGGGTCAGGGCAGTGACCATCCCCCTGTACTGGGCACTGGTGAGGCCGCACCTCGAATCCTGTGTTCAGTGCTGATGAGCTGATCTGCAGTGCAAGGGCAGGAGCTCCAGAGCCATGAGAGTGGGGCACTGCAGCAGGCCCCAGCACAGACAACCTGTCCCCAAGCTTGGTCTCATGCCTGCCCCCTTGTCTTGCAGGGACAACCCAACATGGAGAACTGCACCAAAGACTACGACGTGCGGAATGGCATTACACTGTTTCAGTTTACAGTCTACATCCCAGTGCTCTCTTTGGGGATCCCACTGAACGAGACTGCCTTCTGGGTCTTCTGCTGCAAACTCAAGAGGTGGACCGAGACCAGGGTGTACATGATCAACCTCATAGTCGCAGACAGTTTCCTGCTGTTTGCCCTGCCTTTCTTGATATATTTTACCACATATGAGCATCCCATAGACAACCTGTGTTTCACCATACAAACGATCTACTTTACAAACATGCCTATGAGCATCCTGATCATCACCTTGATAGCGATCGATCGGTACATTGCAATCAAGTTCCCTCTAAAAGCAAAGATTCTTCGATCCCCACTGAAATCAGCATCCATCTGTGGGGCCCTTTGGATAATACTAATGATTTATTCCTACTTGCATCCACAACTTCATAACAAAAAGGAAAAATTCTGCTTTCGGAAACAATCTACTCAACCTAGTTATACATTGTTAGTGTCCGTCATCTTTGGCTATTTTATTCCCTTAGTGATTGTGACTTTTTGTTCAGTACAAGTCATCAGATGTCTCAAGAAGAAGATGGTCACGAGTCCTCATGAGACAAAATTAATCCAGAAAGCAATCCGCATTATTTCTGTGAACCTGTGCGTGTTCACTGTATGTTTTGCACCCTTCTACATTGCCCTGCTCTCGCGGTTTGCAGTGGATGTCGCTGGAGCTTGTTCTCTGCTCTCGGAAGTTAGTGCCTGCGTTCACATCTGTGCATGCTTAGCAAACTCTAACTGCTGTTTGGATGCATTTTGTTATTACTTTGCAGCTAAGGAATTCCAAGAATTTCCTTCTCTGTTCCCCACTTGCCTATCGATGAGGTGCAAGGTGAACCAAAGCCAAGAATCCCAGTCACCCACAGATCAAGTCATGACGTAAACAAGGTGTAGCACACTACAGGTATTGAGAGCCACAGGGCTGCTGAAGTTTTGAGCAGAGGGAATAGGACCATCTACAGTATTTGCAATCATTGTAGCTACAGGCATACCTGCAAAAAGGAGCAATCCCTTCCAAGGGGTCTGATATTAACTTGAATTTTGTCCTTCTGTCCTCAGTGACTTGACTCCAGCCTTGACCATAGTCTTAGACCATTGTATTGCAGCTTCAAGAGGGAGAGCATATGGGATGGAGAATAGATGACAAGGCCACCGTTTCCACCATGCACTTATCTGTACATAACACGCAATTAAACATAGGAAACAGGACCCTTACAGCAATACACAAATCCACTTCTGGTACTGTTATACAGATGGTCACTTAAAACCAAGAAAAAAAAACACCCATGTACTACAATGCTGAACCTAATACATCTGTGCTGCTCACACCAAACCATACACTGGTAGTTCCCTGCCGGCCTGTATGATTTCAAAGCTTGCAGCTATCACCAGGACACAGCTATTGCTGTGTATGGAGTAAAGACAGTGGCCTGAGACTATTGCCCCATCCCTGCCCTTTAACACTTGTATCGGCTTGTGGCAAACACCCTGGCGTTTGTGAGACTACAATCATTGTGGGTATAAATAAAGCCATTACTGCATGGAAAAACAGAGCCCCACAAAGCACTGTAGACCCCAGAACAGAACTTTTGCATTGTGCCTATCAGGTATAAATCTGTGAAGTTATCTCACCCAAGCAACTGCTGTAAGTCCTGGTGACAGGTTTGCTGTACTTCAGTGGGATCAACTCCTCAGTAGGTATCCTGACTGGTGAGAAGGGATCGCATCTGCTCAAGTTGCCACAGCCTCATGCTGCATGAATGTCGATGCCCAGAAAACAGCAGTGAGCAACATGAAGCAGATGCAGCCATGATCCCTGCCTTACAATCCATACACAGTTTTCAGGGGAGGTTTGATGAGAGTGAGGTGTGCAAGGCCCTTCTGTACAGATAGCTCAGACCCACAGCTGAGGGCTTCTTGGCACTGCCATGTGTGATGAAACATTGCTTTGGATTTCGTGCTTTTTCTCTTTCAGCTGCTTGGAGAGCGGACAGCAGGGGTCCAACAGCTTTCCCACACTTCATTTTGAGACATTTAACCCTGAAGGTGTCCCTGCTCATGGCAGGAAGGTTGGAAATAGATGATCTTTAAGATCCCTTCCAACCCAAACCATTCTATGATTATACAGAGAACCTTAAGCTTTCCTAGCTGGGTCCCAGACCACACATACAAATGTCTGGCTTTCCAACTACAAATCTCCTCTATAATACTTGCTGACTATGCACTGCGTACCCTCCCACCCCACAGGGAAGTGACAACAGAGCAGCTCAAAACACTTAAACCACAAATGGAAATCTTGGCCCACTAGAAGGAAGTGCCCCATAGAGTCAGCATGGGAAACATTATAGAGTTGTTGAAATGCATGTGATAGCTGTATCTCCTTTGGCTTCATGGCCCTTGACTCTGAGCGTCTTCTGTCTTGTAAATACCTAAACCTTCCTCCAGGGAATGCAAATCCATATTCTGCTCATTTAAACCTACAGACAACTAACTTTCTTGGTGACAACTTACAAATAGTTTCCCTAAAAGTGTCCTGTCATCTTCAAGTGTCTGCAGACCACATGCTGAAACCACTGTCTAGACACCAGCCAAACAACATATGAAACAACTACTCCCATCACAGAAAACTCTCCTCATCCAAAGATTAGATCCAACTGCTTTGTGCCAATACCTTGGCACAGGTCCCTGTGTGATGGAAACTCAGCATAAAAATGGATGAAACCGTTCAGGTCAGTCAGTTGATCATTTATGTACCAATTTTCTTTGATGTATTATTTAATGCTCTGACATTGATGGTCTTTCACTGCAAGCGGAGCACATGTGACCAACTTAATCACATCACACACTGCTTGGCCCTCATTCTGCCTTTTAAAGTCTCTTTTCAAAGAGAGCAAAAAAGAAACCAGACACAAATTGTGCCTGAACTGAAGAATCATCTGGTGCTTAAGGAGATGCGCGAGTGTTGTCACCCTTGTAGCTGTCAGCAAATACACTGCTATTGACTATCCTTAGAGAGAAAGGGGCTTAGGGTTCCTGTTAGCCCATTCTCCTTTATGGTGTGCTGTCAATGCCCATGACAGGCATCACTTACGTGTCCAGGCAAGAGGTGTTCAGCAAGGAAGACATCTTCTGTATTCAGAAATAGCTCAGAGGGCCTTCAAAAACAGTCTTTCCTGTAGGATCCCAGTCGGGCTTCTGCATCTCATTGGTTATAATGAGTGCCTGTTCCAAACAGATTATTATGAAAATGTTAATTACTTCGAAGAGAGATGAAGGCTGAGCCATATCAGCCTGTTACCCTACTGTTAACCCAGAAAGCAAACTACATACTTGTTCTCCAGACCCTGCCATGTTCATGCTTTCTGCCTGTTGCCATGGGGCACCTTGCCCAATTTCCAGTGAGCTCCAATGAAGTTGCCTACTCTGAAATACAAAACAGCAGCGCTTTTGGTCCTGTGGCCTCATGGATAGGCCTCGCAGGATGGCAAATAAAAGCTGCTGTTGAGATCCCATTTGCTACTGCTTTATAACCAAAGAATTTCAGAGCAATTTCTTCCCCAAGCACAGAGTTTTCAAATCCAGGAAGGATCACAGACAAGGCGCTCTATTAAAGAAACTAAACAGCTTCCATGGCTGTACCCCAGCCCGCAGCTAAGCACCACACACCTGCCCGCTTACTCCTGTTGATGCCAAAACCAGTACAAATGTGCTAAAGCATTTATAGCTGGCATTCCTACACATAGCCAAGCTTGCCGCATACAGAGCTGTATGAAGTGAGGGGTTTTCTCTTGTAGGAAGCAAACTGAGGCCTCCACTGTTCATGTTCTAAATTAAAAAAAAAAAATTAGGTGTTTCTTTTCCTCATTGTAAAATAGAAATTGCTGACTTCACAATCCCAGTCATCATGAAGGAACAGTTTTTGTTGTTTGCACTGACTGTCAGGAAAACAGAAAAAGAAGCATTTTTTTTGCAAGTGATAATGAAGCTATTTCATAGTATTAGATCTATAAATAAATATTCATTCACACCATTATACCTCAGAGTCCTCTATTATTAACGCTGAACTTATACCAGAGATTGTGAAAAGAGACTTAGCTAACATGATATAAAAGCTGCCTTACAACAGGCTACTTCCAGTGCAACCCTAAGATGAGCAAGGATCTTTCTGATTACCTGAAGACGCAGATACTGCCTGGGACAAACATTAGCATCTGCTTTACATGTCAAGTTAGAATTATGTTAATGGTGGGTTTCCGACCCCTGTCTTCAGTCAGAACAAAACCTCAGCTCCATGAACGCTCCCAGTAAGTGAAACAGCACCTTTGCCACAACAAGCCATGGAACCTGGCCCGCAACAAACTAGCAGCCATCACACAGCACTGGAATAGGCAACACTGCTATCCACACATCTTTCTGATTTCCTTGCACAGAAGCCTGGCTCACAACAGTAGGAGGCAGCAGCCACAGTCCATCAGAGCTCCAACAAGCAGAGCTGGACCACTGCATTCTGCTGATGTTCCAGCAAGATAGAATCTCTCTGTCCCTGAAAAGGAAAAGATGATGACAAAGGCTTAGACTTTAAATGAGGAAATTGATGCTGCAGCACAAATTTAGGCTGTGGGAAGCAGGGGAGACACAAAAAAAAGCAAAAATAACATGCAAGGAAAGTAATCCAGATTCTTGCTTCCATGTGAGCAGCCATCAGATTCAGTATTTTTGGCCCTTCTAAGCAGGGAAGGAGGGGCTGGCATGAGGCGTAACTTCACTGTGCTGATGCTATGGGAGTATGGAGAGGCTATAATACAGAGAGCCCTGCAAGGCAGACTAGGCCAAGGTCTTCCCTCACAGAAAAAGGAGGCAGGAAGCCCATCAAACCTATTAGCAAACCATACCAGGAGCAGAGGAAAACCTCACGAGAAGGGCTTTCTTTGACTGAGAAACAACCTCAAGCAGAACATCAGGCAGAGCTTACAAGGGAAGGAAAAATGACTGTACAAAACAGAGTTAAATCTTAGAGATCAAGAAATACAAAGATCAAACAGGTCTCAGCAAATTCTCCCCTTAGACACGAAAAGCTACCTAGAAATTACAAGCAAAGAAGTGAGATCACCTAGTACTGCTGCTGCTGCTAAAACCAACATAATTGTCCAGGTACATCCTGAAACCCATCCTATTGCTTTGTCACAGCTTTCAGTAAGGACGAAGAACTCAAAAAGTCCAGAAACTTTAAGCAATTGGCACATGAAATCTCACACCAGCAACAAAGCTTTTAAGTCAGACAAAATAGGGTCGGGGGCAAAGACCACCAAACACAGACCCTTCTCTTTGCACAGGCGCTGGTTCCCAGTAGTGCCCCCAGCCTACCCTGATGGAAAGCTGCCAGCAAGGAAGTGAGAAAACAGGACCAGTGCCACCTGCACCGTGCCACACGGTGACAGCACTCACAGGGCTGAGACAGGCCGAGAACTGCTGGGGCAGGGGAAAACACCAACTGTGCATCACTGGTCCAAGGCAGAAGTGATAAAACCTGCAACTGGATGGAAGGGGACCATCAGCAGCTGCAAGAGCCTAGAGGGCAGCTGGTACGGAGCTGAGGTGGAGAAAAGCAAAGCATGACGATCCTGACCCAGGGGTGTCTAGGAATCATACAGAGACCCAAGAGCCACACCAGGAGACACACAAGGTCTCTGCAGGTAACACCTCATCATAGCTTTGCCTACTGGTAGCTGGTGTTGAGTTGCTCTGACATATCCTGGTGAACCTGATGATCACAGCCACCTGTTTTGTGCCTGGTAACATGATTTGTCCCTCCCTTGAAGCCTCACCAGGCTGATGGGAGACACAGCTGCCCTTGTCTGCTGACCACAGCACCAAGCTGTGGAT